TAGGGGCGGGGGCGGGGGTGGCGTTGACGCTGGGGATACGCTTCTCGGATGGGAAGTTTGTTCTAGTCACAGGCTGAATAAGACAGAACAAACTATGCCGCATCTCGGGCCGGCCTAGGCTGTTTGCACGTAATACCTGGCCTACATAGCGAAGGTTGATGAAGTGGGGAACATCGCTCAGCGGGGAGATCTTGAACCTCGAGTCTTTCTCGTACAGGTATCGACACATGACGGTGCCGAGGATGGACACCCGGATGTCGGTCCACGAGTGGTCGGTGATGAAGTGCGCCTTTCAGTCGCCCAGCGTCGGTCTAGCGTGCAGCGAGGCCCGCCACTCGTCGAAAAACCGCAGGATGTCCATGAGTTCTTCTAGTTTCGAGTCGTCGGCCGATCTGGTGTAGCCCACCATCTTGTCGAGGCCGTCCTGCGCGCGTAGTACGACCGGCCGAAGTTCCCTGCATGTATACGCACACACACACACAATCACGCACACATTTCTCATGGGGGCAGTGGGTCTGTCGGGTGAGAAGGCGAGATATGGCGCGCACGGAGAGAACGCAATGCTCATGGACACAAGGAATGTAGGAAACTAGTAGGCGGGCGACAGACCCCTTCACAAGCTGTACCGCTGGAGACATGGGTCCTAACCCCTACCCCCGGACTCTATGGTGTAGCACTTACCTGTTGTCTTGGAGCGCCGCGGCTGCTCTCAACCGGAACATGACTCGAGCTGGATGTGGCATGCGCTCGTTTTCTCGAACCCGCGTATCTTTCCCCCGCGTTGAAAGCATCAATTCTGCCTGTCGCAAGCCATCGCAGTGGGAACGATAACGTACACCGGAACTTGGAAATAATTGCATGCACATGTTCATGGATCAAGTTATAAGATCCGGTACACACAACCACCGTCGCCGAAGCTGCAGTATAATCCCGCGGGAGCACGGAATGCGGAGGGTTTCCGCTGCTCTTTGCGGCAGTAGATACAGAAGTAATTTAGATACATTGTACTACACGTATAACGACAATTAGTGATAGGCAGTGAATTTGTAAAATATGTATATAGAAAAGCCTCAATATTTAAATAATGTCTGCACTCACGGTCAGCAAGAGCTCTCTCGGGCGAGGAACATCGAGGACAAGGCATGCCTACCGCAAGCGACAGGGTGCCCGTCAACGTCATCTCCACATTGCGAACTGCCTCTCTCTTTCAACAGCGAGGAACTGGCAGAGAATACCGGTCCAAAACCAGGAAGCCTTTTTTTTTACCACAATCCATGCACTTCTGGCGAACATATTTTGTTCCCTTCTCGTATGTACCTACCGGATCAGGAGTAGCAATGTGTGGCACATTTGTGTACCATTTATGTCGTCATCATCCATGATCGGCAGTGCCCCCGAGCCTAACTACCACCGCTGACAGTACGGCGTATGAGTGACGGTTAGAAACCGTGGTCGGCAGGGCTCACACGTTCACGAACCGCAAAATAACACCACCATGCACGTACATCCGTACATGCGTGTGACAGAGTCCATCTACACCGCCTGTGACGATGCGCTCAACATGCGCGTACATGCATCTCACCTTCAGCTTTCAAGATACGGGAGAACAAAATATAACCCTCTTCATACTGGCACGGAGACTCGTGGTTGCACCACACCATCAACGTTAGAAGTTGAGGGACAGAAGTTTATTCTGCCCATCCGGTTCGTCATCGGCGTGTTCTGGCGTTGCGCACGCCCCACTTTCATTCGAGGCGAAAAACATGCGCATGCATTTTGTGTTTCAAAAACAAAAACAAACGCTGCTGCTGCTGCTGCTGCCTCTGAGAGAGGGTCCCTCGCCGGCGGGTGAGATTATGATCCGCATTTTTGGCGAGAAATCTGCGTACACGAGACCATTTTCCAAACGGATTTCTTCCCAAGAGAGGCTGAGACATGTACTGACGGCACACGCGACGGCATGAAGTGCCCCCACTCCAGCCAGACAGAACCGCCTGCGACGTGCGGGGTAGTCGGATTTCGGCTCGCACCTTCCCCGGGGTCTTGCCATCACGAGGTCATGACCCAAGGACTCACAGGACTCACCGTGAATAAATCCCGCCCTGTCCTGACAAATAACCTCCCTTGTGATGGTGTGGTCTGTTCGTGTGTTTGGATACGGACTGGTTAGATCTACCGGCAACAACAGAGGGCACGCAGATGGGGCATACGTACACCTTGAAATGGTTGCATGTGCGGGGACCCCTCGAACTCCAAAAAGGGCTTCACTTCTCCCTACTCCCCTTGCGTGTCTAATACAAGAGAAAAAACATTTTCCCCTTCCAAGTGAAGGACATATTCGAACACACTAGCGTCAGTCCCTCGAGGGAGAGTCCATTAGGAATGTCAGGTCGCAAAGATGGGGGTGACTCCTCCAGCGACTCTGCGGCGGAAGACAGAAAGAGGTCAAGAGAAGAGCTCGTGGCCCTGAGGACGCAAGGTATATAGCTCGCTGACGGATCAGATGAGCCAGCGAATGTCGCTAGTGGAAGATACCATGAAGGCAAGCAAGAAGGAGGAGCCAGCTGGCACCATGGAGGGTGCCCCTGATCGCGGCGATGCTAGGGAGAGCGCCGCCGCGGAGTCCACGAACGCCGAAGGAGGGGCAACGTGGACCGGGAGTGCGCAGGACGGGACGTACCTGCGCGAAGCTGTTCGAGAGTCTGACCCGTCAGGGCGACACAGCGGCGAAGCAGGGGGCTTTGTCCCCCAAGAGGTGAGAGTAGCCGCTGCTCACAACCAAGATAATAGTAGTGCCATGGGAGATGGTGGTGCTGCTGTTGGCTTTGGATACGGAGCCACAACCCCAGCGACGGGGTACCAAAGTTTGCGGTACACTTCTCCTCCGTTCAGCGGAAATCGAAAGATTTCAACGAATGGCTTAATGATTTCCGCATGGCAGCTAATGGCGCAAACCTGTTGGAACAGTTTGAAGAGAGCGGGAGCTTGGAGATCCCCGTCAACAGCGGAAAGAGCAAGTTTTCGCTGTCACAGCAGTACCGGAGCGAGCAAGTAGAGCTCGCATTCCACGCGTGGAACTTCCTGTCTCACGCGTTGAAAGAAAAAGATCGGAAAATCATGAAGAGGGCAGTGACGCCCCAGGGAGCTCTTCGTGAGCTCAAGACCATAAACGACGCTGAATCATCTGTACAGCCGTCAGAGGACCTCAAGTCCCTGACGTCGACCAAGATCTCTAGAGGTGAAAACCCCCAAAACGCCCTAAATGAGATGCTCCACACCGCAAAGTCCTCAACCGAGAAAGGGCTAACTGTCAGCGAAACGTTCGTCCTTCACCTCTTCCTGGATGCCCTTTTGGACGAGTACGCCATGACAAAGCACAACCTGCGACACGCAAAGGAGTTGACGCGGACGGTGTGCCAAAGGAAGTAATGATCGAATACAAGGCGACCTAGGACAAGCTGGAGCAGGGGAAAGGAAAAGGGGCGAAGGGCGCAGAGCAAGCGTACTTCGCCGACGGTGAGGGCCGCAGGAGCGGTACTCAAGTAGGAGTCAGGGGCAAGGTCGTGGTCGTGGCGGCGGCCGTGGCCGCAGCAGCAGTCGTGGCCGCGGCGGCGGCGGCGGCGGTCGCGGCGGTCGCGGCGGCCGCTCAGGCGGATCCGGAGGAGTCGAGGAGAGCAAGGGAAGCAGCAGTGGAGGCGCCGATGGCGGCGGTGGCGGGGACAATAAGTTCCGGGCCCGGCGCTTTTGGTGTGGACATGAAGCGATCGGCTGCACTACCAACGAGACGGACTTCGTGCCGTGGTGTGCGCGCTGCGAGGGGTGGGGCCACACCAAAGAAGAGTGCGCGACGGAGGAGGCCGTCCTAGCGCAAGTGGTGGAGCATGAGAGCGGCGTGGACTCCGTGGAAGTCCAGGCGTTTCGTGCCGTGGCAGTCCCCCAGGCGAGTGTGGTACCGTTGGTGAAGTAGGTCTAGCGGGGGTTGTGGAAGAAGGCCAGGCGGTGTACGTGGCCGACACAGCGGCCATGTGCTCAATGTTCCGATGTGCAGACAGCTTCGTGAACTACCGTGAGCGTAGCGGTTGGGTGAAGGGGATCGGAGGCGNGGGCCCGGCGCTTTTGGTGTGGACATGAAGCGATCGGCTGCACTACCAACGAGACGGACTTCGTGCCGTGGTGTGCGCGCTGCGAGGGGTGGGGCCACACCAAAGAAGAGTGCGCGACGGAGGAGGCCGTCCTAGCGCAAGTGGTGGAGCATGAGAGCGGCGTGGACTCCGTGGAAGTCCAGGCGTTTCGTGCCGTGGCAGTCCCCCAGGCGAGTGTGGTACCGTTGGTGAAGTAGGTCTAGCGGGGGTTGTGGAAGAAGGCCAGGCGGTGTACGTGGCCGACACAGCGGCCATGTGCTCAATGTTCCGATGTGCAGACAGCTTCGTGAACTACCGTGAGCGTAGCGGTTGGGTGAAGGGGATCGGAGGCGACAAGGCCCCCGTTCCTCTTCTAGGATACGGAGATGTGACCTTAGTCCTACAGACGGAAGATGGTGGAGTACCCGTACCAGTACTGAATGCTGCCCATGTACCAGAGGCCCCCTACAACCTCATCTCGCTGTCTTGGTTAGCGGAGGAGGGCAACACGTATTCGGGGATGAAGGGGGGCCTCACGCTGACCACGAAAGCCGGGGGGAGGTGTGGTTCCCCCGGACTAGAAAGCTGCTGACCCAACGAGGCTAACAAATAATGCCAACGCTACACACCGCCTGTGCCGCACTCATTGTTCCTGGCGATGCGAAAGCAGCCAACCCCACTGACCTAAACGAGCACCACCTCGCGCACGGCCATGCCCACGAGACATTGCTCAGGATCACGGCGNGGTTAGCGGAGGAGGGCAACACGTATTCGGGGATGAAGGGGGGCCTCACGCTGACCACGAAAGCCGGGGGGAGGTGTGGTTCCCCCGGACTAGAAAGCTGCTGACCCAACGAGGCTAACAAATAATGCCAACGCTACACACCGCCTGTGCCGCACTCATTGTTCCTGGCGATGCGAAAGCAGCCAACCCCACTGACCTAAACGAGCACCACCTCGCGCACGGCCATGCCCACGAGACATTGCTCAGGATCACGGCGGAGCAGCAGGGAGTGCAGCTGACGGATGGACCGCTGCTACCCTGTCTTGGCTGTGCGATGTCCAAGGGACAGCTGCTACCTCTCGCAGATGACGAGAAGAGCGGGGAGGGCAAGAGCAGAGCGGATGCATCACGCCAAGATTGGGGGGGGGGAGAGACTCAGAGAGTGAGTCTGAACTCGACATGATGGAGGCTCGTGGGCCAGGGCAAGCGACGCCGTTTGTGCGCGAGGAGGTGCCGACGGCAGCCGGCAAGGGGATTCCGGGGGACGGAGGCAGGGTTCCCCCGTCGCCCCCTTCGGGAAGGGGCGACTTCGGCGGAGGCAGNCTGCTACCTCTCGCAGATGACGAGAAGAGCGGGGAGGGCAAGAGCAGAGCGGATGCATCACGCCAAGATTGGGGGGGGGGAGAGACTCAGAGAGTGAGTCTGAACTCGACATGATGGAGGCTCGTGGGCCAGGGCAAGCGACGCCGTTTGTGCGCGAGGAGGTGCCGACGGCAGCCGGCAAGGGGATTCCGGGGGACGGAGGCAGGGTTCCCCCGTCGCCCCCTTCGGGAAGGGGCGACTTCGGCGGAGGCAGTGTCAGCCCCACCGACAGCAGCAGCAGCAGCAGCAGCAAGAGCAACAGCAGCCCGAGCAGCAGCAGCAGTGACGCCGGCGGTGCCGGCGGCCCGGGCGGCGAAGAGTCCGGCGACCCAGGTGGGGACGGCGGTAGCGATGGTGATCCCGGCGACTCCGAGAACCTCGAAGAGTTGAAGTATGATCCAGCCGACGACCGCTACTCCCGCGGGCTAGAAGGGAAGAAACTCCTCTGGGGTGCCTCGAACGCTGGCCCGCTGCGCCATGGGCTTGAGAGTGGCCGCACGCGGAAGCAGACCTGGGAGATGCAAGGTGCCGGGGAGATGCCGGGGCCCGGACAAACACCGGACCCGGAAGAGGCATTGCTGGCGACCATCCTGGAAAATGGCGGGACGGGGATTGTCGAGGACTACATCTGCAACTCGCTTGTGAAGGAGCAGTGGGACGAGGAGCAGATACGCCGTATGGAGGAGATGTACAGGCGCGAGATGCAGGAGGTGTTGGGCCCGGAACAGCAGGCGTTCGGGGCCGAGGTCGACGCCAGCGGGTCTTCGCAACCACTCCCAGACCCACAGCGAAGTATGACCTCGCCAGTCGGGCAGAAGCCGAGTGATGTGGAAGCAGTACCGATGACGTACAAGGATGTGATGTGTTCCAAGTACNCAAAGTGGTTGTTCTCTTGGAGGAAGAATAAGAAGGACCTGATAGTCGACATCAAGGCCCGTATGGTTGCGCGGGGTTTCTCTCAAATCCCCGGCATCCACTTCCACCACTCATCCTCAGCGTGCCCGTCTGCAGCGTCTATCAAGACGGTGATTGCCGTAGCCACTGAAAAGGGCAAGAAACTCGCTCACTGGGATGTGAAGCAAGCGNGAAGCTGCCGATGCTCTCATCGAGAATGGATACGAGAGGTGCAGGGTTGACCCGTGGATCCTCCGGAAGGTGGTGGATGGAGAGGTCGTAGGTGTCATCGTGATCTACGTTGATGACATCTTCGTGGCGGCAGACGAGGGAGAGCGAGAGGAGTTGTTCGCTTCCCTCAACAAGTTTCCGGTGAAAGATCTGAGGGAGTGTAACTGGTACGACGGGTGTGCTATCGCCATGGATGTAAAAAAAATGGCATCACCAAGCTGTCCCAGACAGCATTCATTGAGAGTATGCTGAAGCGGTTTGATGTGACCACGA